CATGGATGTCCCTCCTGTCTGACCAGGCACTGCTGACTCATATTCAACTTTTGCCATTGACCAGGACTCCCAGGTCCCTTTTCACAGTTGCTGCTCTCCACTGTCTCATTCCCAGCCTGTCTGTACTGGCGTTGCATTTAATCATTGCAAATTGCAGTAGGCAGCAGTCAGATGTACTAAACCCATAATTCTCTGTAAGACTTTAGAAGGTGGGCCATTTAGCCCAGAGGATAGCAAAATGAGGGGCAGGAGACAGCCTCCCAACACATGCAGCCTTTTTGAACATACAAAATAGTGTCCCCCTCCACTGCAAACTCCAAATGCTTTTAGATAAACACGTACACCATACTGCACCCTTTTAAGCAGAGTTATCAAGGTGTGTCTGCACTGAAATTCCCAGAGAATGAACACATGCTTTGCAGTCACTATCCAGTTCCAACATTTGTTATTACCCACGTGTTAAGCTCCTGGTGGGTCAGACCACAGGATTGCAAGGAGCGGTGACCAGCCTGTGCTTTGGACAGTCTTGCTTTTAACAGCTTACCCCAAACACAAAAGGTGAAAGCAGCTTTGGTTGATTGGATTGGTGGGTGGGTTTGTTGTTGTTGGTTTTTTTTATGTAATCAAGAAATTACAAAATAGTCTACTGAGGTACCCATGTGTTGTAGAGTTGGACCTGTGTCTTTGAGGAGTGATGTCCTTCAGCAGGAAACTCCTCCTGGTCTCACTGCTCCAGGTTGCTGCCTAAAAGGGTGTTTGCTGCCAATTGGCATCAAGACTCTCCTGAACCAAAGCTAGTGTTCTTCCATTTCTAAAAATCCCTATAGGCTGTGTGTCAGCATCCCTGTAGACAGCTCCTGTGGGGATTTCACAGAAGTACAGTAAGGAGAAGTTGGATAAATCTCTTGTGTCCCAGTGGAATAAATTCTGATTTGCACAGAAGTTTCTGCCTGACTTCTACTGCAGTCTGCATCAGCAGGACTGGACATGCCCTTCTGCAATCACGGGCTAATGGCTCAGTTTGTGGGCTGGGCTCTGGTGCTTGAGTGACTGGAGCCATTATTCCCCCGCAGGCACAGGGGAAAACACCATTCCCTAAAACTTGGCTAAAGGAAGTTTTATTTGGCATGCATTAGCCCACCCTTGCAAAGCTGAAGGCACAGTTAACACAGGTTACCTGAGGTTTAGTCAACAGATATGTAAGGATTAATGGAGTTGTCTAAACTCTGTGAGAGCAGCATATATAGGGAAACTTCATTAGATCCACAGCTGCAAATTATAAACCCTTCTACCCTCTTTGAGGTTTGTTATCTTTAGAGATCACCATGAAAGGTGGAACAGCTGTGAGAGCTATTATTCAAGCTGATATATAATGATTGCAAAAAAGGTAGGGTGTTTAGACAGATGATATGAAGAACATATTTGCAAGAGGATCATTAAATTCATGCTCCTCTGAGCTGGTATGCATTGAAAGGAAAGGCACAAGTGAGATACTCAAGCACAGTGGGGTGTTCACAAGAATATCTTCTGAACTTGTCACAGCAGTGCCCATCAGAGGAGGGAACAGGGTGAGCAGGAGAGTGGAGGAAAACAACTTTCCCCTACAAAAGGAAGTCACATACTGAGGTGTACTTAGTAGCTCACTTTTGTATCTCAGTGTTTCCAAGAATTTAATATCCTTCTTTTATTGATGAGAACAGTTTCAGTTTCAGTTGCCTGTGTGGTGCTTGGTGCCAGGTTGGTCCTTGCTTTGGAGGAAGCTGGTGCTGGAGCACTTTGCCATCAGGTGTTAGAGGGGAGAGCAGCAGAGGTGTCAGTGCCTTTAGTCTGGCAGAGCTGCAGCTTGCCATGTCAGCAGTTATTCTGGGTTCAGTGACCAGCCAGTCTTTGAGGTAGATGACAAATCTTGACTGGCCTGAGAAGGGTGGGAAGCAGCTGAATGTCAATAGAGCTTCTCCTCCCAGTGCCCTCCCTGGGCAGGGACTGCTCTTGCTGACACAGAGCCGCTCTTCCCCTAAAAGGTTTGCTGGTCCTGTCTTAGCTGTTCATCCCAGCTCAGGGGCCAGGACAAGGGCTTAGTGATGCCTAGGGACTGCAGAGATCTGCAGAACATCAGCAGAGAGGCACAGCCTGGAGAGGTGTATTTTTCCTCCCCTAGCTCTGGCAAAGACTGCAGGAATTCTTCGGGGATAGAAAACCTTCTCTTGCTTCCAGACTCATGTAAGAAAACAGTCACTTTATCAACCACTTGGCACATGGGCTTTGGTGAGGCAGAGGAGGTAATGTGGGGTATCCATAATTATTATCAATGACTTTTTCAGAGGAGGGGGTAGAACCTGGGTCCTTGAAACTTAGATCCCCTTCAGGTGCTGAGAGGAGGGGAATAAGGGAGGTATTATTAGAAAGCATTTCTTTTATTTAACAGATGTTAAATAGCACCATACCACTATATCAATCTGTCAAGTACACTAATAGGAAACAGCATATAGAAAAGTTGAGATCTGAATTTCACAGGGAAACAATCCCCCACCTTCTGCAGGATCCCAGGGCCTGGGGGCCAGCGTGGAGCACGAGGAGCAGCAGAACATATGCCAGGCACATGTGGATGGAGAGGGGAAGGAAAAGTTGTGGACTGTGACAGAAAAAACTCAGTGCAGCTGGAAAGGTTTTCACCCACCCTGTCCTCATTGTTGTACTTAAAACTGGATTAAAAATATCCTTAAAGCAGAGACCACACATATCTTTGGGTTTTGACAAGGTGTGTGTATCATGCTATGGGTTTCAGTGGTGTTAATCGGCATTTTCACAACATAGGTGGTTTAAAGTCTGAGGGAGAAAAACAAACCTCTAATAGATGATTAAAGGTTGAAAAACAAGCCTGGCTTTACAGTAGTGTGTGTTAGTTCCAAATCAGACCCAAAGCCATGATGTCTTCCTCTTGGACTCTGCGTTGCTTCCTTAAACTTGTCCTAGTGATGCCCAGCCGCTGGCTGCGACCCCAGGCAGCTGAGGTTGGTATGGTTTTGTTAAAAGAGCTGCCTGAAGCCCAAGGTTAAGTGACAGGAGTTTCAAAACAGAACAATAAATTAATAAAATGAATGTGTCATCAGCTGATCCTCTTCTGACCACCATCTGTCCCCTGATCATGTGACGTCTCCCAGCTGGCCACCCAAGAGACAAACCATGCAAGATCATCATCACAACATATGCTGCTATTTACACATTTTTAAAGGTAATAGTTGCTAGGCTGTCATATTAGTAGTTAAAAGCAGTTATTTGGAAGCTAGGGGATTTTTTCTTTATTTCTTTCCTTTTTATTTTTTCCCTTAGGAAGGCAGTGACTCAGCAGGTATATTTCTGACAGAGACATATTCAGGGCTGGATCAGTGGAAGTTCCTATGTGTAAAGTATATGTAATTCTACCCCCTCATAGCCCCATCTTGTTCTGTGGTATGCTGTTGTGCCTTTTGTAATATGCAGTAGAATAAATAAAATAGAAAGAAGGCAGTGGTCCCACAAATGTCATCAGTGTACCTTTTAGGGACATTATGTGCTCTCTTTGCCATCTCCAGGATGCAAACCAAGCTCTGCATTTTTTAACTATTGTTAAGATCAAGGATGTGGTTATGAGAAGACTTACAATTTATAGGATACTTAAGCATTAAGGATTGAGGCACAGAACATTTCCTGGGGATTAACGACTGACTGGGTGAGCCTCAGGCCATTAACCCCTGCCTGCCATTAATCTTCAGGAAATGCCCTGCAGTGAGGTCGTTATTGCTGTTATATGCTGAAACACAAAAATAAGAGTAAGAAAGATCCGTGGACTTATTTATTTATATTTTACATAACACAATTCTATTGGGACTCTAGGAAATGAACATCTTTCTATTTAGCTGGTCGTAAACTGGAATTAATGCAGTTCCTGCTTCTCACTCTTTTGTGGAAGATTATTGTCAGGCTGCAGGAGTGTAAGTGGGGCAGGATTTGGCCCACTGCTTGTATTGCAGTGTTTAATACAATGAATATGCCCTGCTTCTCTGATATAACTGCTGGCACAATTTAGCCCTATATAAAAACCAGCTCAAAATGCTTGTTTTACAGCAAAGCAATTTATTCACAGTTCTAAGCATCTCGCAGCCTTTTTTTAACTCGTTGAATAATCCTTTTAGGTTGCCCATAAAGCAGGTGAAATGCTTCTGCTGCAGTCCTAAGGCAGAACACAGGCTGCATAAATAGCATCTAAATTACTAGGAATACAAAATACACATACAGTAATACATACCTACAAAGGCAAATTCATACTGACAGGACTGCAGTGTGTGCTTATCAGCAGCAAAACATCTCGGGGAAAAAAAAAGTGGCTTTATATTGAAATCTTGTATATATTTCTCTCTATATAAACACTTAAATACTATTTTTTGCATGTTCTAAAGCCCAGATGCAGGCTCCTTTTTAATGAGCCTGCCTGCTTAAACATTTATTAGCTTAGAGATGTATAGTTTTCATAAAGCTGGCTGATTCTTTTTGCAGAATATCTTTGCAAAAAAAAAAAAGCTTTTTTTTTTTTTTTTTTTTTTTTTTTTTTTTTATTAATTTTTTTTTTTTTTTTTTTTTTTTTTTTTTTTGTGTACATGGCCTCAGTCCTTGCAACCTCCTAGAGAGTCTGTCAAGGCACAACTTAAAAGCTCGTTCAGGCGACCATGACCCCCTGCTAGCAGATTGTCTGCCTAAAAGGTAAGGGAAAGCTAAAAAAGAAGTAGAAACTTAAAAGTAGCTTCTCAAAGGCTGCATAGATCTTTTTTTTTTTTGTTAAACCTAAAGTGTTTAAAAGCTTTAATATTGATGGCCTGTCAACTTTGTCCTGATTCTTTGGCTTTCAGTTAAAAGGTTTTTGTTGTTGTAGCTTATGCAGTTGCTCTGTTGCTATGGAAACGTGACATCAAAATGACGTTTCTCTGTTTAAAAGCTTTTAACTAAATTCCTGCCTGTCAGATGTAGGCCCCATTTTGTGCACTCAAGCTTCAAGCTGTTGCAAAAAGGTTTCATATGTTCTGTTGTCATTCAAATTCTTTATCCACATATGCATGTCTTGCACTACAAAAAACCTCAACTAAAAACTCAATCTATATTAAGTGTCCTCTTTTAAAACCCTTTTAGGTCAGTCAGCAATGGCTGCAGCAGAAATTCCCAGTTACATTGTCTCTTCTCAGACTGAGAAACACAGGAGGGCCAGAAACTGGACTGATGCAGAAATGAGAGGTTTAATGCTGGTTTGGGAAGAATTTTTTGATGAGCTGAAACAAACTAAAAGGAATGCCAAAGTTTATGAGAAAATGGCTAACAAACTCTTTGAAATGACTGGAGAAATTCGCCACGGAGAGGAAATAAAGATAAAAATTACAAATATGACATTCCAGTACAGGTAAGCTTCAGTTAATTCTTTTTATTTTAAGAGATTTTAGCAGGGACGGCGCAGTGATTTTTGTCTTTCAGAAAGAAGTCTCCTAGAGGAAATCTGTCGATAAAAGATTAAAGATTGTTCATATCGCTTTTAAAATTCTCTCTTGCCAATGCTGTTACATCATTGTTAATTTGTCCCCCCCATTTCATGTCAAACTCTGGGACAACTTTGTTTCTTTAAAATTAGCTGGCACCGTTATGATGCAGAGGGATGGAAATGTATTTAATGGGGAAAAGAGATTTTTTTTTTTCTTCTTTTTTTTTTTTTTTTTTT